GATATAGATATACCACAGTTTGTTGTCTATATTGAAGGGTATCTGGGTTGTTTCTAGTTTTGTGGTATTACAAATAAAGCTGCTATAAACATTAGTGTACATGTTTTTGTGTTAACATAAGTCTTCATTTCTCTTGGATAAATGTCCAGGAGTATGGTTGCTAGGTCATATGGTATTTGTATGATGAGTTCTTAAAGAAACTGCCAACCTTTTTTTTCTCCCCCAAAGTGGCTGTGTCACTTTACATTCCCGCCAGCGATGTGTGAGTGATCCAGTTTCTGGATCCAGTGATTGCCAGTATTTGCTGGTGTCGCTGTTTTTTGTTTTGGCCATTCTGATAGGTGTATAATGGTATCTCACTGTGGTTTTGATTTGTATCTCCTCAATGACAGTGAACATCTTTTTTTTTAAAGATTTATTTATTTATTGGAGAGAGAGAGTGCAGAGTGAGTGAGTGAGCGAGCAAGAGAAAGCATGAGTGGGGGTAGGGGAGGCAGAGGGAGAGGGAGAAGCAGTCTCCCTGCTGAGCAAGGAGCCCAATGTGGGGTTCGAGCCCAGGACCTGGAGATCATGACCTGAGCCGAAGGCAGATGCCTAATGACTGAGCCACCCAGGCGCCCCTCGTTTGTTGTTTTTGAGTGTTACCTGTTTGTATAGACTTTTAATGATTGCTCAGGGTATTACACTTGTATAAGTGTAACTTATCACAGTCTACCAGTTGCCATTTTACCAGTTTGAGTGAAGTATAGAAACCGTACCTATCTTTACCATCCCCCATTCATAATAAAATTAAATATTACCTCTATGTACTTTTATTTTTTATTTATTTTTTTAAAGATTGTATTTATTTAGAGAGAGAGAGAGAGAGTGGGAGAAGGGAAAGAGGGAGAGGGAGACAGAGAATCTCAAGCAGATTCTCCACTGAGCATGGAGCTTAAGTGGGGCATGATCTCACTACCCTGAGATTGTGACCTGAGCTGAGATCAAGAGTTGGAAGCTCAGGAGCACCTGGGTGGTTCAGTGGGTTAAGCGTCTGCCTTCTGCTCAGGTCATGATCCCAGGGTCCTCGGATCGAGCCCCGCATTGGGCTCCCTGCTCAGCGGGAAGCCTGCTTCTCCCTCTCCCACTCCCCCTGCTTGTGTTTCTGCCCTCACTGTGTCTCTGTCAAATAAATAAATAAAATCTTAAAAAAAAAAAAAAGAGTTGGAAGCTCAGCCGACTGAGTCACTGAGGTGGCCCCTCCTCTGTGTACATTTAGAACCAAATCAGACAGTGTCATAATTTTATCTTCACCCATCAAACGTATTTTAGAAAGCCCAAGAAGAGAGGGAAAACCTATTGTATTTAATGATGTTTTTGCTATTCATGTTGTTTCTGTCTTTCTCATGTTCCAAAGTTTCTTTTGTATTGTTTCCTTTCTGTTTGAAGACCTTTTACAGACATTTTTTTTTTTTTAAGAGATAAAGGCAGAGAGAGCTCTCGAGGAGGGGAAGGGCAAAGGGGGAGGGAGAGAATCCCAAGCAGACTCTGTGCTGAGTGCAGAGCCCGTCATAGGATGCCGAGCCCACACAGGGCTGCATCCCAGGACCTCGAGATCATGCCCTGAGCCGAAATCAAGAGCCAGCTGCCTAACTGACTGAGCCACCCAGGTGCCCCACTTTTTAAAAAAGATTTTATTATTTATTCCAGAGAGAGAGTGCAAGAGTGGGGGGAGGAACAGAAAGAGAGGGACAAGCAGACTTCACGCTGAGCACAGAGCCCAATGTGGGACTTGATCTCATGACCCTGAGATCATGACCTGAAGCAAAATAAATAGACACTTAACTATCTGAGCCACCCAGATTCCCCTACAGCCATTCTTTTAGTGTAGCTATATTGGTAACAAATTCTCTTAGTTTTCCTTTACCTGAGAACATCTTGATTTCCCCCTCATTCCTGAAGAAGATTTTTTGGTCATAAGATTGTTGATTAAGAGGTGTTTTTCAGTACTTGAAAATAGTGTGCCATTTTCTCCTGGTTTCTGATGAAAAATCTCCTTTTTATTCAGAGTGTTTTCCCCTTATAAGTAAGGTGTCATTTTTTTCTCTGACTTGAAAAGATTTTTTTCTTTGTCTTTAGTTATCAGAAGTTTAATTATGATGTGTCTTGGCATGATTTGGGGGCTCATCCTGTTTGGATTTGCTCAGCTCCTTGAATCTGTGGGTTTATGTCTTTTGCAAAATTTGGAAAGTTTTCAGCCATTATTTCTTTGAGTACTTTTGCAAGTTGCCTACTTTCTCCTGTCCACCTGGAATTCTGATAACATGAATGGGTGAGATGACTTCTCAAAGGCTTCCATCCAGCCTACTTGTCTGTGCTTTTTCAGTTAGAATGCCTGGGTTCATACAATAAGCCAGACTTGATGATCTTCAATAGCTAATAATAACCCCTTTATTTTGGCTGAGGGATGCCCCAGCTTTCCCCAGCTGCCTCCAGGTATGGAGAGATATTTTAACCTAAGTGCCTGTCTGTGTCCTGGGGTAAAAAGAGTTGGCAGCCACTCTGGCTATTTTGAAATCATTTCCTCTTCTTTCTTGTGTAATGTTCTCTTGACCTAGATGTCATGGAGCACTCATATACATTCAGAAAATACTTACCCGTGTAAAGGACTGTGGCAGACAGCAGCCCACAAGGAGTTAACAGAAGGGGCAATTCCTCATGGAACATAAATAACTGAGGGGCAGGTGCCATGGGAGGCCCTGTGATGCTGAGGGAGCTGGGGGGATGGTCCCACTGGATGTAGGGAAGAGTCATGCAAGATGTGGATTTCAGTGTGAATTCTGGAGGGCCTGGTAGATGCCCCATGTGAAAATGGGAAGAAAGGACATTTCAGACAAATGGTGAAAGCCAAGTCACTGAGGTGGGATGTATTGGGCCAGGGGCTTTGAGAAGCAGTAACAGAAGAAGTGAGTTGACCCAGGCTCTGGAGGGCCTGAAATGCCCCCACTAAGGACCTAACTTGTATTTGGTAGGAATTAAGTATTTTTGTAAAAGCAGCTACATTGCTAGGATTGGGAAGGTTGAAGGGCCATGTGGGAGTGTCTTCCATCTGTCCCAAATTTGGGTTCATTTCAAGAAGTAGGAGGAGGCTAATATTTGAGTACCTCTCTCTTATGTGGCAGAGAACAACCTCCATACACTTTTCAGTTAATTTTCAACAAAAAAACCCTAGTAGTGTTAGAGGGTAGTGTTGCCATTTTATAAGGAGAACACTGAGAGTTAAGTATCTGACCACAGAGACTGATTTCTTCTCTCCCAAGTTCTCTTCCTTGAATAGGAAAGACTATTCCCTGCCCAGAGAAGCTTCTCCCAGCTCCCTCAGTCGGGCACATTCTTTCTTCCTCCTTTCCTTCCACCAGACATTTGGAATGTTAGGAGGGTTCCTTAAAACCTGTTAAGGGTAAGATGGCATTTATACTCCTGGACCTAGAGATCACTTTTATCCTTGGGTAGCTCAGCCCGCATCTTCCCATCATTGCCTGGGGGAAGCATATACTCCCTTTTCATGCTCTCATTGTATCAAAGCTGGAAGGAACCTTAGAGACACTTAGTCCAACTCCTTATTTTTCTGGTGCAAGCTAGAGGCCCAGTGTGGCTAAATCTCTCATCCAACTCTACACATAACACAGGTTATGGCAGGGTTTGGTCCTCTCTGCCTTGCTGACCCTCTCTCAGTGTTGTTATCTCCCCAGATCTTCAGTACCTACTTTTTCCATTTACCATATGATTTCCCTCTTACTGTGTTCTATTTGCCCCACATTTTGTTTTTTATTTTTTATTTTTTTAAAAAAGATTTTATATATTTATTTGACAGAGAGAGCATAAGTAAGCAGAGCGGCAGACAGAGGGAGAGGGAGAAGCAGGCTCACCCAGCAGGGAACCAGATGTGGGACTCGATCCCAGGACCCTGGGATCATGACCTGAGCCAAAGGCAGATGCTTAACAACTGAGCCACCCAGGCGCCCCCCCCCCCCAGTTTGTTTTTTAAACCTCCTTTGAGTTAGGAAAGAAAAACTGCTTCTTCCTTTGAAATTAGACTCATCTGTAGATAGATACCTATTGTCTTGCCTTCTTTCATTTGGATAATTTCTGTATGCTTTATAAAAATAGGGGCTTGGGGGCACCTGGGTGGCGCAGTCAGTTAAGCTTCCGACTCTTGGTTTTGGCTCAGGTTATGATCAGGTGATCAGGTGGTGAGACTGAGCCCAGCACTGGGCTCCACGCTTAGTGCTGAGTTTGCTTAAGTTCCTGTGTCTCTCTCCCCCTCAACTCTCTCTCCCAAATAAATAAGTAAATCTTTTTTTTTTAAAGATTTATTTATTTGACAGAGAGAGACAGCAAGAGAGGGAACACAAGCAGGGGGAGTGGGAGAGGGAGAAGCAGGCCTCCCGCTGAGCAGGGAGCCTGATGCGGGGCTTGATCCCAGGACCCTGTGATCATGACCTGAGCTGAAGGCAGACACTTAACCGACTGAGCCACCCAGGCGCCCCTAAACAAGTAAATTAAAAAAAAGGGGGTGGTTTGGATTCAACTACTGCCCTATAGTTTGGTTCAAGAAGGAGGATATCCTAGTCTTGGAAAGTGCATTGGTAGCTTCCTGGTTGGCTGTCAGGTGCAGGAACCCTGGATTGGGGATGCCTTCTTCAAGGCTGGGGAAACGGGAATGCGTGCAATGTGCTGTAGTCCGAGGATCAGGGTAGCTAGCCCCTCTGGAGCTTCATGGAGCAGCGTGCTGTGTAGTCTCTGGTGTGGTATACAGAGCACTGTCAGAGGCCCCAGAGACATCCTGCCACCCAGGAGTGACTGATCTTAGGCAGGCTAACGTCACCTCTCCAGACCTCAGCTTTGCTGTCTGTTAAGTGTGATAATAAGACCCACTCCACAGGGCTGGCAAAGTATCCCTGTGCCAGTCGTGGACCGTAAAGGTAAGGGGTTATTGTTGCTGTCATTGTCATTATTAGGGCAGCGTGGACATTCTCAGGCTGGCTCTACAGAGTGAACTGACAGGAGATGAACTTGAACACTTAGCCCAGAAGGTATTGAGGTTTCTGGTGGGGTGAGACCTCTCCCTCAGCCAGTTATCCTTCCTTGCTGCTGACTTCCCATGCCAGTGCTGCATGGAACCATCTCTGCTGCCGCTCAGGATCACCTCCTTTCAGACACACCACCTGACCTCCTCGCTGTGCACTGCTTTGGGGGATGGGGAGACCCCACTAAAAGTAAAACTAACTGCAATTTCTGCTAATTTTCCCTGTCTGGTGTTGCTGCTGTGTGGCTTCTGGTAGAGGTTCTGAAATGAATTTTTGGTGGGGACAATCAGACTAACCCTTTACATCTTCTGAGGAGCAGGTATTCTGCATTGGTCAAGGGGCAGAAGTTCTGGGCTTGTCATGATTTCTGAGCCATTTCTCTCTCTCTTTCTCTGTCTGGCAGGCGGGCAGGAAGACCTATGCCATGGTGTCTGGCCGCTCAACCAGTCATTCTCTGGCCTCAGAACTGGTGGAGTCCAATGATGGCCATGAGGAGATCATTAAGGTAAGCTTTGTTCACCTCCACTCTTTCTCTCTCCCCTCTTTCTCCTGACAGGCATGTGAGAGGGAGCATTGGACTTTGCCACAGGGTTTGACTGTGGTTTGACTAGGAGGAACCAGACCTGTAATGCTAGTTCCTGGGTATTTTCCTGGAAAGATCTTAATTAGCACCAGGAGACCATAGTCCGTGTGTAGTGACTTTGGTGCAACTCAGCCGTAGGCACGAGGATGGATGAGATGACCTTTCTAGGTGCCTATCTCACTATCCATATTTAGCTGCTGGAGGTTGTGGAGACAGGTAGGAGGTGTGGTTAGGGAACTTACTATTTTTTTTTTAATAGAACGATTTTTGTTACTTCTTTTTGTAACAGCTCTTTGAGACATAATTCACATACCATACAATCGATTCAGTTAAAGTATACAATTCAGGTTTTGAGTATGTTCACAGATTGTGGCAATCATCACCACTATTAATTCCAGAACACTTTCAGTCACTCTTTTCCTGCTCCTGGCAATCACCAGTCTATTCTCTGTCTCTGTGGGTTTGCCTTCTCTAGACATCTCACGTAAATGGAATCCTAGAACATGTGGCCTTTGTGTCTGGCTTCTTTCACTTAGCATAATAGTTTCAAGATCCAGCCATGTTGTAACATATGTCAGTACTTAATCCTTTTAATGGTTAAATAACATTCCCTTGAATGGATATATCACATTTTGTTACCCACTCATCAGTTGATGAACATTTGGGTTGTTTCCACTGTCTGGCTATTATGAATAATGCTACTATGAATATTCAAGTGAAGGTTTTTGTGTGAAGGTATGTTTTCAGTTTTCTTGGTATCTACCTAGGAGTGGAATTGCTAGGTCATTTGGTAACTCTGTATTTAATCTTTTGAGGAACTACCAGAGTTTTTCTCAAAACATTTGTTCTATTTTATATTCTCACCAGCAATGTAGGAGGGTTCCAGTTTCTTTATATCCTTACCAACACTTGTTATTATCTGCTTTTTGATTATAGCCATCCTATTGCATGTGAAGCCATATCTTGTGGTTTTCATTTGCATTTCCCTGATGACATGCTTTCATATGCTTATTGCCTATTTGTGTATCTTCTTTGGAGAAATATTTATTCAAATCCTTTGCCCATTTAAAAATTCAATAGTGTTTAAAGAGTTTATGTGTAGGTACAAGTAATGAATGTGGCCGCACTTTCTCCATCGTGTTACCCTCACTATATTTGAATTTTTAAATAGCAGTGAATAGTCCAAAAGACTTTTAATGATAATTAATTAAATTTGCGAAAAAGAGTTTGGACATGATTATTATAAATAATCATTTTTGTTAAGTCAATTGTGTTTTAATTTTTGAGATGTAAGTGTTCCTTATATATTCTGGATACTGACTAGGCCCTTACAATATATGACTTGGAAATATTTTTTTGTAACTTTTTAAAAAAATTTTATTGTTATGTTAATCACCATACATTACATCATTAGTTTTTGATGTAGTGTTCCATGATCCATTGTTTGCATATAACACCCAGTGCTCCATGCAGAATGTGCCCTCTTTAATACCCATCACCAGGCTAACCCATCCTCCCACCCTGACTTGGAAATATTTTAAAAAAAATTTTTCCCACTCTGTGTTTTGTTTTGTTTTTCACTTTCTTAATGATGTCCTTTGAAACAAAAGTTTTTAATTTGATGAAATCCAATTTATATATATTTTTTCTTTTATTGTGTTTTTGGTGTCCTATCTAAGAAGGTTTTGCCTAACCCAAGGTCACAAAGATTTATTCCTGTGTTTTCTTCAAAGAATTATGTCTTTAGCTCTTATGAATAGGTCTATGATTCATTTTGGGTTAATTTTTGTGTATGGTATAAGGAAGAGGTCCAGTATCATTCTTTTCCATGTGGATATCCATTTATTTATTCAGGTTTTTAGCATGTTTACAGATTGTGCAATCATCACCACTATTAATTCCAGAACATTTTCAGTCACTCTTTCCTGCTCCTGGCAATCACCAATCTATTCTCTGTCTCTGTGGATTTGCTTCTTCTAGACATCTCACGTAAATGGAATCCTAGAACATGTGGCCTTTATGTCTGGTTTCTTTCACTTAAACCAGCATCATTTGTTGGAAAGACTGTTCTGTCCCCATTGAATTGTCTTGGCGTCCTGTCAAAAATCAGTTGAGTGTATTTTTATTGTATTCTTATTGTTTCTGGACTCTCAGTTGTATTCCACTGATTTATGGGTCTTCTCCTTATGCCAGTTCCACACTGCCTTGATTACTGTAGCTTTGTTAATATTTATTAATATTTATAATTTTGTTATTTTTCAGGATTGTTTTAGCTATTCAGAGCCCTTTGTATTTCCATATGAATATGAATTTTAGGATCAGTTTGTCAGTTTCTGCAAAGAAGCCAGCTTGGATTTCGATAGGAATTATATTGAAACTGAAGATCAATTTGGGGAGTATTACCATCTTAACAATACTAAGTTTTCCAATCCACGAAAATGGGATGTTTGTTCATTTTTTTAGGCCTTCTTTTATTTATTTTTTTAAAGATTTTATTTATTTATTTATTTGAGAGAGAGAGAGAGAGAAACAGCATGAGAGGGGAGAGGGTCAGAGGGAAAAGCAGGCTCCCCGCTGAGCCGGGAGCCCGATGTGGGACTCGATACCAGGACTCCAGGATCATGACCTGAGCCGAAGGCAGTTGCTTAACCAACTGAGCCACCCAGGTGCCCCAGGCCTTCTTTTATTTTTTTGAACAATATTCTATAATTTTCAAAATATAAGTCTTGAACTTTGTTAAATTTATTTCTAAGTATGTTTTCTTTTTAAAATTTTTATTTAAATTCAGTTTAGTTAACATACAGTGTATTATTAGTTTCAGGGGTAGGACTTAGTGATTCTTCAGTTGCATATTATAACACCCAGTGCTCATTACATCAAGTGCCCTCTTTAATGCCCATCACCCAGTTACCCTATCCCCCCCTCCAGCAGCCCTCAGTTTGTTTCCTAGAGTTAAGAGTCTCTTTGGTTTGTTTCCCTGTTTTTATCTTATTTTTCCTTCTCTTCCTCTATGTTCATCTGTTTTGTTTCTTAAATTCCACATATGAGTGAAATCATATGGTATTGGTCTTTCTCTGACTTATTTCACTTAGCTCCATCCACATAGTATTTTTTCTTTTTGTTGCTATTGTAAATAGAATTGTTTTTAAATTCCATTTTGGATTGTTCCTTGCTAGTGTATAGAAATACAGTTATTTTTTGTATATTGATTTTTTTTTTTAAGATTTTATTTATTTATTTGACAGAGAGAGAGAGACACAGCGAGGGAGGGAACACAAGCAGGGGGAGTGGGGGAGGGAGAAGCAGGCTTCCGGCTGAGCAGGGAGCCCAATGTGGGGCTCCATCCCAGGACCCTGGGATCATGACCTGAGCCAAAGGCAGACCTTAACGACTGAGCCACCCAGGTGCCCCTTTTGTATATTGATCTTAAATCCTACAACTTGCTACAGCCTCTAATAGTTTTGTAGTGGATTCCTTAGGGTATTCTATATAAATGATCACTTCATCTGTAAATGGAGGTAGTTTTTCCTCTTTCTTTTCTTTTTTTTTTAAAGATTTCATTTATTTATTTGAGAGAGAGAGAATGAGAGATAGAGAGCACCAGAGGGAAGAGGGTCAGAGGGAGAAGCAGACTCCCTGCTGAGCAGGGAGCCCGATGTGGGACTCGATCCCGGGACTCCAGGATCATGACCTGAGCCGAAGGCAGTCGCTTAACCAACTGAGCCACCCAGGCGCCCTCCTCTTTCTTTTCAATCTGAATGCCTTTAATTAATTTCTTTTTCTTATTTAAAGTAATTGCAGGGCCCTTAAAGAAAGCAAAACTACCCCATAATTCTTTCGATGTAATCATTGTTGTTACTACTTTATTGTGTATCCTCTCAGACATTTTCCTATATATGTGTATTTTTTCAAAAGTTAGATTGTATTATATATACTCTGTTTTACAATTTGCTTGCCCCCCCCCACACTTTAATGCTTTAATGTTGGTTTATAACATCTTCTGTGTCCATAAATGTAAATGTCTGGTATTCTAATGGCTGCATAATATGCTGTTATAGACATACCACAATATAAGTAATCCCCCATTGTGGGACATTATGCCTATTTCCATTTTTGCATTCGTAAACAATATTTTGCTGAACATATGTTACTAAATTGTGTATGTGTTCTATAACACATGTAATAAATATTTTCTTAATTGTAAAGGATTGAAGCATGTATAGAGAAAAATGTGTAAATCTTTTTACAACTTCATTTGCATAAATTTACATATATATGTGAGTGTTTATGCCAGTTTGGCTAAATTTACTTCCTTAGGATAAATTTCCAGAAGTAGATTTGATAGGTCAAGGAGTAAATATAGTTCTAAGCCTTCTGATTTGAATCGTCGAATTGGCACACAGAAAGGCAGTAACAGTTGACCTTCCCAGCAGCAGTATATGAGCCTGGCTGTGTGGCATTAACTGACCAGGAGGTTCCTTACCTGAATAGTATCGTTTTCCTTGTTGCAGGTATACTTGAAGGGGAGGTCTGGAGATAAGATGATCCATGAGAAGAATATCAAGCAGCTGAAGAGTGAGGTGCAGTACATCCAGGAGGTAGGCATCCCTCCCTCTCAGGCAACTTCCCATTTTTTTGGCTCCCTTCTTTTGTGGGGTCTGGTTCTCTCCCATCTGCTCCCTTCATACCCAAAGTGCCACCAGGCCCCTTGAGTCAAGTACCATTTCCGACCCTTCCGATAATCAGCTAATCCATTCATCAACACATATTTATTGATTACCATGTGTCCAGCACTGTACCCCGGCCATCATCTCTAAAACTGCCAGTCTCTTTTCCCCAGCTTTTCCTGACACTCCCCCTGGCTCCTGTTGGCTCCTTGGCACTCGTCATCATGTAATAACATATTACATGTTTCACATGTTTGCCTTTTGTGTTGTGTGTTTCTGCAATAAGAATGTTAGCTCCGGCAGGGCAGGGTTTCCTGTTTGTGTAGGAGGGACTTGCCTGGGGTCCCTCCTTCCCCCAGCTAGTGCTAAGGACAGTACCTGGCTCCTAGGAGTATGGGTCGGGGATAGGCACAAAGCTGGGTGAGGTGGTAGGCTCTCTTGCCTTTTTCCCAAAGCTAAGCCTTCTTGCCCTCCCCTCCCAGGCCCGGAACTGCCTGCAGAAGCTCCGGGAGGACATAAGTAGCAAGCTTGACAGAGATCCAGGAGATTGTCTCCATGGACAGGAGATACAGGTAATAGGAAATGGTCAATGGAAGAGGTTGTGCCGGGTAGTCCCGTTTACATCATGCAGTGGGTGATTCGGCACTGGGATTCTCCGGGAACGGCGTGAATACAGGCAATGTTGGCTTCTCAGAGCGCTCACGACTTTAGCAGTGCTCTCCAGCAGGCGGGCACTTGCATTTACACATATCAGCCTATGTAGAAGTATACTTGTTCCGAAAACACTGTGTAAAAATGGAATTCATGTAAATAAAACTACCATGAAGTTATTGGTAAAACCTCTTCTCTGTGAGGATTCTGCAATCAGTCTTTTTGCAACACAGTGTCTGCTTTAGCAGACAATTACCTATAAATGCAAACTTCTCATAAGTCGATCATACTAAATTGGGGTGACACTGTGGTGTGAATTGGAGGTCTTGGTCCTTGTCTGTTATTTGTGTATGTAGCGGTCTCTGCCCTGGCACGAGAAGCTCCTCGAGGTTAGGGTTCACCCCCACCCCTGTCTGTGTATCCCCACACTCAGCACAGGGTCAGGGATGCAGAAGGTCATCAGTAAATGTCATATGGAACCTAGAGGCAAGGTCTTCTTGAGATGGATGGATAACCCTGGGATCTTGCTTTTCAGCTTTTCTAAAATTGGAGGCTAGGGGCGCGTGGGTGGCTCAGTCATTAGGTGTCTGCCTTCGGCTCAGGTCATGATCCCAGGGTCCTGGGATCGAGCCCCACATCGGGCTCCCTGCTCCGCGGGAAGCCTGCTTCTCCCTCTCCCACTCCCCCTGCTTGTGTTCCCTCTCTCGCTGTGTCTCTCTCTGTTGAAATAAATAAAATCTAAAAAAAAAAAAAAAAATTGGAGGGTAGAACTGACCTCAGGAGAACATACCTGTCTCTTCCATTTCACCCTCCTTTAGAGGCTGAGTTATAGCTCCTTTATTTGCATTTGGTTCGGAGAGGGGGTAGTCTTCCTCCAGTAGCCCCTGCCCTCATTCTCCTGAGGGAAACCGTGACCTGGCCGCTAGAGGCGGCAGGGCTCCTCTCTGGCATGAGCATGCCCGAAGCTTGTGTGGCCATTCCCCCTAACTCGCTTTGCTGTGACTGAAGGTAGGACTTTCACTGCCCGAGCTCACATCTGGCTGCTGGGAGGTGCTTTGTTGGGTGACTGAAGAGCCTGATGTGCTCAGAGACTGGCCCAAAAGTCCAGGGCCCTTGCTTGCACAGACCAGCAGTCATATGATGAATAATCAGGCTTTGGGTTGGAAAGGATTGCAGCAAAGGCCACTTCACCTTTCGCTTTCGGCTTCGTCAAACCTCGTCAGGATCCCCGAGGGGCAATGGGAGCTCTCTGTTGGTGGCAGGCAGCTGCCTGTATCCCCTGGGCTTCCAGGAGTCAGCCTGCATGTTTTCCTGTCTGCTGCCCTGCATCCTCCCTGCAAGGCTACAGTATTCCTTTCAAGGCCACACACGTTTCTCCACTCCCTCTCCTCTCCATTTTGCACAGAGCACTCGGTCTTTTTTCCCTACCTACCTGCCTACCTGCCTTCCTACTTTCCTTCCTTCCTTTTCTTCTTCCTCTTCCTCCTTCACTTCCCCTTCCTCTTCTTTCTCCATCTTCTCCACCTCTTTCTTTTATTCTAAGATTTGAGATCTTAGGAGATTAATGTTTCAAAGTTGGTTTTTTGGGCTGTTTTAACTACCAGTTTTATTTTTCTTTGAACAGGTGGTGTTAGAAAAGCCCAATGGATTAAATCCAAGCTCCACAAGCCCATATAGCAGCCCACCTGAGGTAGGTAACGGGGAAAACAGTGGTAACTACTTCATAGCCAGGAGGCAGGATATTCTCCTCCCCTAGCGCCTTGTTATCACTCTTTCTCTCTCACTAAATATAAGAGTAACATTTGCTGTAAAAATTCAAACAGCGGAGAAACATACAAACCGGAGATTCTCCTTCCCCAGTTCCACTCCTTTAAAGGATCCACTGTGAACAGATTGAAGTGGGTGGATCGTTTTAGAGCTGTGCTCTTGGCCTTCACTGCTGATTGGAATGGCCCTGGGAGCCTTAAGGAGACGAGCCTGGTGCCAGCCCCAGAGATTGTAATTTAATTGGTCTGAGATGTGGACTGGGCATCGGGACTTTAAAAAGCTCTTCAGGGGGAGCCTGGCTGGCTCAGTGGGTAGAGCATGCAACTTTTGTTTTGTTTTAATTAATTAATTAATTTATTGAGCGGGCAGTGGAGAGAGGGAGAGGGAGAGAGAATCTTAAGCAGGCTCCACACTCAGCTTGGAGCCCAACTTGGGGCTCGATCTCACGACCCTGAGATCATGACTTGAGCCGAAATCAAGAATTGGACGCTTAACTGATGGAGCCACCCAGGCACTCTGAGCATGCAACTTTTGATCTTGGGGTTGTGAGTTTGAGTCCCACGTTGGGTGTGGAGATTACTTAAAAATAAAATCTTAGAAAAAAGAAAAAGTATCTCTTCAGGTCATTCTACTGTCTAGCCAAAGCTGAGTACCAACGTTCTAACATATTTTTCTTTTCTTTTTTTTAAAGATTTTCTTTATTTGACAGAGAGAAAGATAGCCAGAGAGGGAACACAAGCAGGGGCAGTGGGAGAGGGAGAAGCAGGCTTCCCGCCGAGCAGGAAGCCCGATGTGGGGCTCGATCCCAGGACCCTGGGATCATGACCTGAGCTGAAGGCAGACGCTTAATGACTAGGCCACCCAGGTGCCCCATCTTTTCTATTTTTTTTTTTTAAGATTTGGTTTTTTGGGGGACCTGGGTGGCTCAGATGGTTAAGCATCTGCCTTCGGCTTGGGTCATGATCCCAGGGTCCTGGGATCGAGCCCCACATTGGGCTCCTGGCTCAGCAGGGAGCCTGCTTCTCCCTCTCCCTCTGCCTCTCTCCCTGCTCATGCTTTCTCTTCTCTCTCTCTGTATCTCTGTGTTTCAAATGAATAAATAAAATCCTTAAAATAAAATAAAATAAAATAACTTAAAAAAAAAAGATTTGGTTTTTGGGATGCCTGGGGGCCTCAGTCCGTTAAGCGTCTGCCTTTGGCTCTGGTCATGATCCCAGGGTCCTGGGGCTTCTTGCTCAGTGTGGAGCCTGCTTCTCCCTCTGCCTGCCACTCCCGCTGCTTGTGCTCTCTCTCTCCCTTTCTGACAAATAATAAAATCTTAAAAAAAAAAAAAGATTTTGTTTTTGTTCTTTTTAAGTAATCTTTACACCCAACAGGGGGCTGGAACTGACAACCCAGAAATCAAGTCTCATGCTCTTGTGACTGAGCCCGCCACACGCCCTGCTAGTTTATTTTTCTATACACAGACCACTGTATCTAAACACTACATGCATGTATGTTTTTATATATGTTAATATATACGTACACACCGTAGTTATATGTATAAATAACGTGTGTATAACATACACAGACTTTGCGCAGATGCAGGGTCATGATAAACACTCCGTGCTTTTCAGTTTTTTTAAACTGATAGCCTTCTGTCAATTTATTAAATTTATAGCCTTCTTTCTCTGTTAGTACATGTGGATCTACCACATTCTTTTGAATAATGACATAGTAGTATTTCTTTCCATGGCTGTCCTTGTTTATTTATTTATTTTTTAAAATTCCAGTATAGGTAACATCCAGTGTCAGTTTCAGGTGTACAGTGTAGTGCTTCAGCAATCCTATGTACCCCTACCCAGTGCTCATCATGGCTATCTTTTTTGAAAAAAAATTTCCCCCCAGCTTTATTGAGGTATGATTGACAAATAAACATGCTATACTTGTAGAAAAAAAAAGCCCTCTGTCATTAGATTTTTTGTGATTATGTAATAAGATATGCTTATCGTAGAAGATTTAGGAAATTCAGAAACACAGAAACGTGAAAGGAGAAAAAAATGTCATTCAAATCTACCCAGAAAAAAAACCACAGTTTGAAATGCAAACATGTATTACAGTATTGAGATGATACTGTATAGAGCATTTCTTTCTGTTTGTTTTTTTTTGTTTCAGTGGGTTTTTTGGTTTTGTTTGTTTTTTTGGTTTTTTGGATTGTTATTTCTGGCCCTTGAGTGCCTGGCTAAATCAGATCTACCCACCCATTCAGGGCATATTATCATCTCTGATTTCATAAAGGCCTTTCACTTTTTTCTTTTTTTTGGCCTCTCCCCTCCCCAGCCAAAAGGTATACATTCTAATATATTCAGTGTATGATTTAGATATGCCTTTGTTTTCAATTTTCATAATGAATTTGTGCTATATTTCTCTTGTTTTCCTTTTTGACCAACACCATGTTCTTAGGATCTACCCACATTGCTGTGCTGAAATCTAATGTGTTTCTAACTCCTGCATGCAAAGTTTTATAACTACCTTTTTTCTCTTTATATTATACCATGAAAATTTTCCATGTCATTAAATAGTCTTATAAGAACATTTGAAATAAGCACGTAGAAGTTATGCTCCAGGAGCCCTTTAAATCATTCTCACCTGCTCAGCCGCTTAGGTACAGATCTAGGGCAGTTGACTGGATAACTTCTTGATGGCTAGAGTTTGGCATGTTATGATTCTAGCCACTCGCTCTAGATGTGCAATTTGAATTTTTTCCCTTCCCCTGAATCACCATATTTAGCAAATGGGCTGTTGGCAACAGGTTATAATCATACCTGATACTGTTTGTTCAGCTGCTTCTTCTCACAAGCTCTAAGCCCTGCCGGATATTATCTTCCTTTTGAGGCAGCCTGGAAGGCAGGGCATGGTAAGGAGTCTTCTTGCTTCACAGATAGAGAAGTGAAGGCCCACTGGACTCAGTGATTGTGCAGCGACTGGGACCCTGTGGCCCGCCTCCCAGTTGAGCTCCGTGCTTCCTAATGCGCAAGATGGGGAAAGACTTTTCTGTCAGACTCACTGGGAGCTGGTAACTGAAATGTCTGGTACCTGTGCGGCAGAGGTGGGGGCAAGACCCCACATGCCAGCTCGGCGCTAACCACCAACCCACCATTGGGTGTGTCTGGGGAGAGACTCGTGGTAACCTCGATGAAGACACCTTTTTTCACATTGAATCAGATTCCTGGAGTCATGGGTGCTTTTGCTCTAAATCTGCCTGTCCATCAGTAACCCTCTATATGCTGATCTCTGTGCTAGATGCAGAGAAGACCAAAAGATGTGCCTTTCGGATGCACCCCTCATGGTGGGTGTGGCACAGTCCCTGCCCTTGGGGCACTGTAGTCTAAAGGGAAACACAGTGCCGGCTCTCAGAGAACTCTAGTCTGATGGAAGCAGGACCTGCAGGTGAGGATGGCATAAGCATACCTCTTAATCAGCTGATACCTGTATAAAAATTACTGAGTGTGTCCTAAAATCATTCAGCGATTTGAGGCTAGTTGAGTTCCTTAGGATATGAAGAAAGAGTGTTTTCACGTGAATAACTCAGAGCACCTGGGTGCCCAAGACTAACTCTCCCCCTGAGTGATGTGAAGGTGGTCTGGACAAGAGGGCCCAAGTGTGTGTTGCAGGGAACCCTCTCTCTCTTTTTTTTTTTAATGGCAATTTTTTAAAAAGATTTTATTTACTTATTTGACAGAGAGAGAGAGAACGAGAGGGAACACAAGCAGGGGGAGTGGGAGAGGGAGAAGCAGGCTTTCTGCTGAGCTGGGAGCCCGATGCGGGGCTCGATCCCAGGACTCTGGGATCATGACCTGAGCCGAAGGCAGATGCTTAACCGACTGAGCCACCCAGGCGCCCCAAGGGGGACCTTCTCTTATACAAACACAGGGCCTTCACCTTCTCTTCCCTGTTCTGACTATAGGTAGATGCCTATATAAACGAAGATGTCGAGAGCTTGAGGAAGACCGTGCGGGACCTGCTTGTCAAGCTGCAGGAGACTGAGCGGCAGCACCAGTCTGACCGTGTGGCTTTTGAGGTGAGATTTGGGATTTGAGGAGAAGGTACCCCAAGGGTTAGGCTGCTGGATATAGGTGCCAGTGACTTAGCATGGACTTCATGTCTTTCTGGCTGTGTGCCATCAACTGGAGAGGCTAGGCTTTGAGGCCTGGGCATTTTCCTGTCTGCTTTTCGCATTCCTGGACATGTATCGTTTTTGCTGTTCAAGGCTAGCCCATGGTTTAAAGGTTGGCACTTGGTTCTCTACTGAAGTTGAGTGGTAGTGCTGGTCTGGGATAGCAAGTAACTCAGGGGGCATTACTCTTACCACAGTAAGAATTACTGGGCTCTAGGCACCATGCAGGCAGGGACTATTGCTGTCAAGGTCACCCCACATCCCCATGTCTGGCATAACGCCTGATATAAGGTGGGTACCTCTTAAGTGTGGACTAGTTGAGTGGGTGGAACAGTGTGGTTGTAGAAAGATCTGTGCCCATGGAGTCAGAGGACTTGAAGTCAAGTCTTGATTTTACTATGCAGAGCTTTGTGATCTTGAATGAGTATTTCAATTATTGTTACAAAAGTAATACTAAATTATTGTGGAAGATTAAAGAAGTACAAAAGTCTGTAGAGAGTGAAAGCCCCCCGCCATTAAAAACTGTGTGAGGTCTGCCATACTTTCCAGAAAATTCTTTGTGTATAAAATGAGATACACTAGGAAAACACTAGGCTTCTGTGTGAGATTAACTATCTGTTATCTGCTATTGTTCAGCCACATGTAAAGTATTTCTGTGTCATAAATTTGTAATGATAGGATATGCCCTGCCCAGGCATGCCAGGAGCTGGTGGTAGGAAGAAGACTGAATGCTTCTCTTCCATGGGACTAAGAGAGAGAATTTTTGAGAAGGATATTGAGGGGGAGGAAGCAGGCACAGGGATAGTCAATTGCCTTTAGAGATGACCAATTATTTGAGCAAGTAATTTAACCTAAGTATCAGTTCTAAATTATGTAAAAATGGGTCATTTTAAGTACACCTTACAAGTGTGGTGTGTGAACTGAATGAGGTAAGATATGTAAGTATATTTATTACTCTGAACGATTTTAGAAATATAAGATACCCTATATTTTTCTTAGTGATCAATTTAGTTAAGTGGGTTTTCCTATCCTAAGTAGTTTAGACTTAGCATGATACTGCGATTAGTTTGGTCTCAGAACAAAGTAGCTGTGCAGTAAAGGAGTTGTCGCCTCTGTTTCAGATTCCACAATTTGGATAATTGGGTTGACGATGTATCATTTTGGTGACTAGCTGTTCCCTACCTTCTTGGTACACAGCAGGAGGAAGGGGCAGTTGAGACTGTAGCACTGACCAGACTGTGAATTTTGGAAAGAAATTTCTACACAGAGAGGTATTATGAAGCACTGGTTGGTTTTGGCCATCCATGGAGGGGTCTGCTCACTCTGGGTTTCAGTGCTTGGACAAAAGGGTCCAGAATGAAAGCCTAAGGCCGGAAGGTCCCTGACAAGCTGTAGCCACCCTCCCACAGTTTCTAAGAAGGGGCTGCCCTTGGTAAGTAGCACCTGCCTGCAATCAGAGGTGCTGTTTCCACTGTTGGAGTAGGTTGGCACACCCTTTTATGACTAAGAGGTTCCTTCAGGGCACTGCTGACTGGAGCAACAAGGACAGATGTGGCAGAGGAGTATGTATTTTTCCCTTTGTGATCCCAACAGCAGAGTGTGGGGACAGCCCGTGGCCCATTAACGCTGTGCTCTGAGTACACATCAACCTGGATGCAGTGTTAGGTACAGAAATGAGAAGTTTCGTTTTTACGTTCCTGTCCATGGGGCTGGCCTGTTCCAGGCTAATACGGGACCTTCAGAGGCTTTTCTTGGTCTTTGCTAGTGAATGAGACTCTCTGATCTACTTTTCTGAGCCAGGGGGTAGCGAGGGCAAGATTGTCAATTACCGTGAAAACAACCTGCCAGTAAGCATGGGTTTTCCGTTCTCCCAGCAGCAGCCTGCTCTCAGGAAGGGTTCACGGAGAGTCTGCTCTGCACAGGGCTGGTGTGCAGCATGGACATGTCCCATCACACATCATCCTGTGCTGTGCTTTCTCTTCCCTGATTCTGACTTTGGGAGGAGTCAGACAAACTGGCTTCTTTGGTGTTCTGTTTTCCTCGGGCTGCATGAACTTTTGAGAGGTTCCGTGGATTCTTTTTCAGTAACTGACTGGGGAGTCAGTGTGGGGTAGCTGGGAAGAACTGAGATGGATGATGAAGGCACTGTGTTCTAGCATTGGCTCTGTTATTCCCTAGCTGTGTACCTTGGAGAGATCAGTTGACCTTTAGTTGCAAAAGGAGAGGATCGGACTAGATGAATACCAATTCCACTCATGACGTTAGCGAGCATTAACTGTGTGCTAGGTGCTGTGCTGAGCTCAAGGCCCCTGCTGATGGCCCACTGGGGAGCGCACACAAGTGACTGGGCAAAATCCATTTGGTGCTGTAAGAAGGAAGGCCACATAGTGGAAGGACTCCTCACCGGGCATGGAGGCTTCTGGAAGGAAGGGTATCTAAGCTGAGACCTGAAGTTGGCATGTGGGAAGAAGGGAGGCAAGTTCTTCCTTAATTTTTCATTCTGCAGTTCTGCTTCTATCCTTCCCAGATTGGCTTGTCGTCTTGGAATGGAGCAGTTCTTCTGGTGCTTAGTAGCCCTTCCAGAGGCCATTTTGGCCTTTATATGCAGGGTGCAGTATGGCTTGATGTGAGGGTGAGGAAGAGTGGGGGCACAGAAGGAAGGATGTGGAGATGTGCTCCCCTGGACTCTTTGCGTTTGCATTTGTAGGAAAGCCACAGCACTGGGTTAAGCTTGGGTGGCGCTGGCCGCCTTGGGGGGATGGTGAAGAAGTCCGCCATCTGGAAGGCGCTTCTGGGTTCCAGATGTCACTCTAGAGTAGAGCTTGATCAGGGCGTCTGGGTGGTGCAGTCAGTTAAGTGTCTGACTTGGTTTCAGCTCAGGTCGTGATCTCAGGGCTGTGAGATTGAGCCCCGTGTCCGGCTCGACGCTCAGTGCGAAGTCTGCTTAAGACTTTCTCTCCCTCTCCTTCTATCGCTCCCCACCACCCCCACCCTTACTCCTCGCACCTTCTCCCTCAAATAAATAAATAAATCTTAAAAAAAAATAAAGTAGAACTTGATCAACTATGTGAACCCTGGAAATGGAGATACCTGCTGGAAATGGAGATACCTGCTAGTTTCCCAAGTTGTCCTAGAACCGTGAATGGGAAAGAGAGGGGTGCCTCCCTTCTCCCATCACTGCTCCCAGGGCCCTGGGTTCTCTCCTAAGGTTTTTATCCATGTTTGCTCTTTCCCCTCCATCCCCTTCACCCATCCCCATCCTGTCTTAGGTCACACTCAGCCGGTACCAGAGAGAAGCAGAACAGAGTCAAGTGGCCCTTCAGAGAGCGGAGGACAGAGTGGAGCAGAAGGAGGCAGATGTGGGAGAGCTCCAGAAGCGCTTGCTAGGCATGCAGGCGGTAATTGTTGGAGTCCTGCCTTCAGGGCCTCACTCCTGGGCTGGGGGCTGTGGGGGAGCGGGGGCTGGTCCTGGGATTGACTGAGACCATGGTAGTCTGCTTTTCTGAGCAGCTCCAGAAAAACACACTTCACGGCTTCCTCAGCAAATACCTTCGAGAACCTTTTAGCCTTTAAGGAACAAGAGGTCTTTCTCTCAGCTAAGCTCAGCCCTTGCTAACTAGAGTTGAACCCATTTCCATTTCAGTTGGGTTCTCGTAGAGCTGCCCTTTATGGGCTTTTGAAGTGTGCTTAAAAGAAAAGAAAAAAGACAAGACAAGACTGCTCTTAAGGAGCCACTGGGCCTGGTTTCCCGGGGACCAGCAGCCATAGCCGGCAGGTGGGCCTGGATAATGCAGGGCCAGGCTCTCTGTCCAGATAGCTGGGTGAGGCTGAGAAGTTTCTGTATGCTGAGGGTGGGAAGGGTTATCCCTGACAGGGGAGGGCGCCCTAGCAAACCAGCTTGGCCTGCTGCTCGTTGGCAGATGTCCCAGACCAAATAGGGGCTGAGCCCCAGCCCTCAGGCCCCTTTCACCCCAAACACAGAAACCCTTGCCACCTCCTTAACCTAGATTTTCTTCCCTTCGGCCCATTCAGGAGCATCAGGCCTTACTGGTGAAGGTTAGGGAAGGGGAAACAGCCCTGGAGGAACTTCGGAGCAAGGACACGGACTGCCAAATAGAACGAGAAAAGTAAGGGCCCTCGTTCTCCGGGAAGCTGGGGTGCAGGGACGGGAGGGCGGGCCATGCAGCCTGCAGCTCTGTGCAGCCAGGCCGGGGGAGGAAGCTGGAGCTGAGGTCAGATCTTCCAGCTCTGACTCACTGGGCGGCTGCTCTGGGTGGGGTCCCGCCCAGGGAGATACTGTTTGGGAGGCTGCCATCTCTGAGGAGGCCATTTTCCATGGAGTGGGAGCCTAAAGAAAAGGCTTGCATGGTGTTAGAGCCAAGGTCAAGTGAGAGTCGGTAAAGTACCTGCCGCTGTGGCATGCCGGATGTGGCTGTGGTAGTAGTATTGCACCGCAGGTTCCTCCCCCAAACACAAAGGCCGACTATAAATTATTTGAGGGTAAATCAAATAACTTCCTCACAAGTCATGCTTTGAAAAATACAGTGAGCAGCTTCATGAAGAGATTCTGAACTTCCTGTCACTTGAAGCTGCCGTACCTGAGAGCCAGCCGTCAGCAGTGACATGCAGGGGGTCTCTGGGGTCCTTTCCACCCCAGGGTTTTCACAGATTCCGTCTGATCAGAGATCAGAGGCCCTACCAGTGAAACCTGCAGAACAAAGAGCAGGCCATTTTGGACCTTTAAGATTTGGGAAATTGTTTATGCTGCTGGCTTTAATAAATAAGGCCTCAAATGGTAAATCAAAGTTAACACCAGCATACTGGGCCTGCCCTCTATGGTATAAGTTGGATCTTGTTAAGTTCAACGGACGTCACCTGGAGGGCCTTCTAAGGCATTCCAAGATTAACAGACATGATCCTTTTTTTTTTTTTAAAGACTTTATTTATTTATTTGACAGAGATAGAGCGTGAGAGAACACGTGAGAGAACACAATCAGGGGGAGCAGCTGAGGGAGAGGGAGAAGTAGGCTCCCCGCTGAGCAGAAGGAGGCCCGATGTGGGGCTCGATCCCAGGACCCTGGGGTCATGACCTGAGCCAAAGGCAGACGCTTAACCAACTGAGCCACTCAGCCGCCCCAACAGACATGATCCTTGCCCCCTTGGACCCTGCAGTCGGTGGGGGGCATCTTCTCTTCTTTGGGATAACCTCAGTCTAGGCGTGAGACATGCAGACATTTTATTGTCACCTCCTTTTGGGCTTGACCTCATCATGGAATTGTTTTAAATTACTCAGCACTCCTTCTTTCTCAGCAGTGGTGCTCATGGGCAGGTGACTGAGAGGAAGCAGCAGGAGAAACAAAAGAAGACCCAGATAATCCAAAACGGAGGCTTGGGAATGGCAAGCAATGGCTATGCACCATAAACGTTAATTTTCTAAATAAAAGGAGACTGAGCAATAGGGCACTGGAGAGCTGAGGGTGGGCTCTCAGATTGTTTGAGGCTTAGGGAGGATGCCGGGGCTCAGATTGCGTTGTACCCTGCCTCCACCCTCACCGGGAGCGCTGCCCTTCCAACGGCACCTGTCTGCTTCGCCAGGCAGGAGTGGAGAGTGGTGGGCACCGGCGGTCCTTCAGAGGTCTGAACTCCTGGACACCCTGCCCAGTCGCTGGACCTCTGGGGATCTTGGCCCAGTTTAGAAGATGCAGAGGATATAGCAGTGTCTGGCAATCAGGAGACATAGGAACACACCTGTGTGAAGAGGCTTTAAGGACCTGTAAATCTTATCTCCCTTTGACGTAGAGTCCTTTCCAACAGTTTGATGGCATTGGGTATTAAACTCCCAGCTCCCACTTGAATCTTTCCAGGAATGAGGAGTTCATCACAGCTGAGGCAGTCCACGTTCTGATAGCTTTGATGCTGAGAAAGTCTGTCCCGTGTTAGCATAAGGACTGCTTCCCTGGACATCTATTTATTGGTTCTAGTTGTACCTTCTAGAGCGTTCCAGAATGACTTATCCATTCTTACCTCTCTGAGCTGCAGTGTCCTTGTTCAGACTAGCTGATCTCTAGTGAGGCTTCCACTGTGCTGTTCCAAGGTGTCCGGAGCACCTCCGCCTCATGGCAGACCACTGGGGCATCAGGCAGAGGGGATCCAGTTCGTGGAAGCCCCCAAGCCCAAGGTTCTTCCTGTGACTGGGTAGAGAAGGCATCTTTTCCCTCACCTCAGCTTTCTGGTCTTAATGCCCAGGGCTGCCAGTCTGGAAAAGGAAGTGGCTGGGTTGCGGGAGAAGATCCACCACTTGGATGACATGCTGAAGAGCCAGCAGCGGAAAGTGCGGCAAATGATAGAGCAGGTAAACAGGGCCCGTGCTACCACGCGTCCCCTGCCCTCTTGGGAAGTCGCCACATAGAGCCCAGCCCTGTTTTCCTGTCAAGTCCATGCTTTTGCTGTTCACTCTCTTGGGGAGCTTGGCTTATATTCCTTATATTAAAACATTTATGGCTACCAATTACTAGGTTTAGGTGATTAGGATTTGCTTTTCTCCCATCTTTCCCCTATGGTTTTAGTCATTTGTCTTTGCTTTCCAATGGGAAAAGAAGGAAAAGGTTAGTCTCTCTTACACTTTGAAGAGTGCTAGTAAATGAATAATGAAGTCACAATAAACTCACTTATCTGTGTGCAGATTATCAAGGCCTTTGTACCTCACGGCAGATCTTCTGCCTTTCCCCACCTGAGCTTTAGGGTAGCATACTCAGGATATGGCATTTTGCAGAATTGTCTTGAGAACTTAAAACCCCCTAACTGGGAGGGTATATTTGCTGCATGTCAGCTCCATGACTACTAGGATTTTTCTGTTTGGTTCACTGCTATTTCCCAGCGTCTAGAACAGAGCCTGTCACATAGTAAGCACTCAACAAATATTTCTTTTTCTTTTCTTTTTTTAGATTTTGATTTATTTATTTGAGAGCGAGAGCACAGGGGAGGGACAGAGGGAGAGGGAGAAGCAGGCTCCCCGCTGAGAAGGGAGCCCGACACGGGGCTTAATCCCAGGCCCCTGAGATCATGACCTGAGCCAAAGGCAGATGCCCAACCAACTGAGCCACCCAGGTGCCCCAACAAATATTTCTTGAATGAATAAATAATTTGTATTTCCCAACATCAAATGGAATGGGTTTTGAGCCATTCATGATTTTGGATCATCAGGGTGATGTTCTCACAACCCCTCCCCTCACGCCTGGGATAATCAAGAGCTCAATATTGACTGAAATGAGGCTTTTCTAGAAAAGCTAAGCAAGTTGTGTAAGAGGTACAAAAGTCTGCCTTATGTTTCCGCTGGCTCCCCGGCAGCAGGGTGAAGTTCGATGAGTGTGTACTGAGTCATTTCAAAATGAACCCAGTTGTCTCCCACATCTTTGTAGCTCCAGAATTCAAAAGCTGTGGTCCAGTCAAAGGACAGCACCATCCAGGAGCTGAAGGAGAAAATCGCCTACCTGGAAGCAGAGGTGTGTGCACTGGGCAGCCCGGGGAAGGGAGCAGGCTCTTGAAGACAGGACTGTACATAGGGAGGGAGAGATTCTGGAGGGGTCTTCGTCCTGTCTGGCTGCTGCTGGGAAGTGAGTATCTGGGATGATTTTTGACGTGCAGTTCAGTTGAGTCAGTGTTTTCTGAGAACCTTCAGGGAGTTACGGTGGTAAAACCTGTCCCCACTCTAAAGGGACACATCGTCCCCGTGTGAGCCACGTGCCATGGGCTTAGCAGAGGAGGTGACAGTGGAGCTGGGCTGTGAAGGGGGAGGCATTCTGTAGGAGGGGTCTTGTCTTCTCCACGGCTAAGGTGATGGCCTCGATCAGCTCACGAGTTCTTCTTAGTCTAATTTCTGCCTTTGCTGAGAGCTGGGGAGGACAGCAGGGAAGGATCAGTGTTGCACACAGTTCTTGAGGGGAGGAGGCGGGAGCGACAACTGGAGGAAGAGGGTGGTCGGGAGTGGTGAAGATGAGGGGTGGGGGGAGAGGGCACCCTGGTGGTGGCACGCATGGTAGGGGTGGTGGTGACTGCAGCACAAACAGGTGCTGTAGAATGAGCTAGTTAAATGTCACAAATGGCCAACTCTGATCCCACAACTTGTATTACAGAATTTAGAGATGCATGACCGGATGGAACACCTGATAGAAAAGCAGATCAGTCATGGCCACTTTAGCACCCAGACCTGGACCAAGACTGAGAACCTGGGCAGGTGAGCAGGGGGGCGTGCCTGTGCTGGGGCCTGGGTGAGAAGTGAGGGAAGAGGGACAGAGCTGTGGGAAGGAAAGCTTTACTGCTGAGGCAAGGGCAAGGCTCTTTTAAATCCCGCTTACGCTCACAGTCTCTGATCCGACCTGTTCTCCGCCTGAACCATTTTCTAACCAGGTCAGAGTAGAGCCTGATAGCACAACCCCAAGGAGGCCCACGAACAGCCTCCGGACACAGATGGACACCCTGCAATTGTTTGCGAAAATCATGAAGGTGTAGCAAGTGTGTATTTCTAGAGAGAGGGCCTTTTGTTTCCAAGAGACTCACAAAAAGGTCCCAGACTTTGAAAAAAGTCAAGACTCACAGCTAGACCCGCTTCTCAGTCCCTGTGTTTCCATCACCCCTGCCCCCCAGGCAGCAGCACACGCCCACCCCCCGTATCTTCTCTTAGACGCTGCTGACAGTCACTGTTTCGAAGTGTGGACGCAGGGGGCCGATGCGGGAGGCAGCCGCGTGCGGGGCGGGTGGCAAAGCACTCAGTGTTTCCGGCTTTCTTTCAGCGTGAGGATATCCAAGCCCCCCAGCCCTGATAAGCCCCTGCCTCTTATCCGAGTGGTGGAAACATGAGCGGGAGGAGCCGGATGCTGCTCTTGGTGCTACCTCTCGCCTGCGGAGAAGCCCGCCAGCCCCGCAGGCTCTTCGCCCTGACTTCGACTTCCTGACCGCTCCCGGGCTGCACTCAGGGCTGGGCGGCTCATGCGTCCCACTCTTCCCAAACTCCTGTCCCCCGTCTGCTGGGCAGACAGAGGATGAACACCTCCTCTGGACACTGCAGCCCTCTGGAGGACGTTAACCGGCCAGCAAGAGCCAGGGCGGTATCCTTATTCCTGTAGTTACTGTTTTTCTCTGTAGCAGAGTCTCCCTTCTCCTGTAGACTGGAGCTCAGCTGGCCCAGAGTCCAGGCCGTCACTGGGTCGGGAGACTCACCTGGCGATGCCGGAGGCAGCGCTGTCCACAGTGATGGGAGGGCGGCCCGGGGGAATGAAGTTCCCTCCACAAACACTGCTCAGTTCTTCGCAACATGTTTGTTTTCCCACTCGCTCCGCCCTCAGCCCCTGCTGACCCGGGCCTCCTACGGACAGACATAGGGCGGCCTGCCATGGCCTGGGCAGAGCCAGCGAGCCTTGGCTTTGACCGGCCAGCCTTGTCTTCCTGGGAGAAGGAAATGTACATCCCGGGAGTAGCTTTTAGTGGAAAGATTCTGTAGGGCCGCAGGTAGTTCTGTGTGACTTCTCTCTGCTGGGAAGGCTCCCGGCATCTCTTAGGGTTTTCCTCTAAGATGCAGTGCAAGGTACATGTCAGTCTTCTTGACTCAAGAGCCTAAAAACTGTTTTCACTGGGTTACATCAATTTCAGTGAAACTCTCATTGTATTTATTTTGCTAAGTTATTGGTGTTTTTCCTTACATCTCACAACTGATTTAATACCAGAGTTTTACAGCCTTCTCTTGTGGTGTTTGGATTTGCTCTGTGCTGGGAAAAATGTGTTCCCACTGGACTTGTTGATTTCAGAAGTAAATCTTTTTCTCTTTTTCTTCTACCTCCTTCTTTCCCTTCTTCCTTCAAACCTGATCTGAACTTCAGGAAGGCAAGCATATTTGCCCTGAGGCTTTGGGGTCTGAGTGTGTGTTGTTTGGGGGGAAGGGGTGATCAGGACTCTCTTGGGTGGGATTGAGTTCTTCTCCTCAGCCCTCTGCACCCTCTGCTCCACAATCGGTCTGTTTTTCTGGCTCTGGATCACCCTGACACTCATGATGTTTTCTTTAGGGCTCTTCTTGCAGCCTCGAGGAGGAGATAAGCATCAGAATGTGGTACTGTAGGGCACAGAAACATTCAGAGTCAACATGGATCAAGTCTTTAGGCTCTACTTGGCTCAAAATCAGAAGCCCGACGTCTGTGTGTTTCTGTGTGTTAGGACTGGGCTGACAGGCCGGTGCTGTCCAGAATGCTGTTCTGGTGTTCCTCATTCACTTTCCTCATTTGTAAAAAGAGGGGTCCGGATGGTCTCCATGGGCCTCTCCAGTTCTGATGTTCTTTCCTTTGGCATAGACTTTGTATGGCAAACTTAATAAAATATGTTACTGTGTCTCTTTGAGCTGCTGGCCTGTTCCCCCGCCGCCCAACCCCCCCTCACCACCCCCAACTTTCCTGGGAGGGTGAAAAAACATGATTTTAATGCCTGTTGAAGATGGGCCCCCTGTTGTCCACATCTGGAAGGTGTAGGTCAGACAGCCCAAACACTAAAGGACTGTGGCATTCAGAGGAGTTAGAATGTCCCTTTTAAGCAGCTCAGCTTTGTGGGCTGAGTCTTCACTGGGGGGGGTGGCCCTGTCTGGGGTGGTGGCTTTGTGGGAGCCCTAGGCTTGGCCAGTGTGTATCCTCCTCCATGGGAGAAGAACTGGTCACAGTGGAGGTCCGGTGACTACTTAGAGATTCACCAATCAGCATGGGAGGAAGTGGAGCCGCTCCAGGCCCTTGGCGGAAACGCCAAGCCTCTGGAAATGCTGACAGCAGCCGTTTAAGGGTTTCATGTTTGGCTTTCTCTGGGCATCGTTCAATTAGTCCACTGCTCTTTTTCTTTCTTCCTGCCAAAAATGTAGTTGACTGCAAAGCCCCCAGGGGCATAGCCAAGTTTACACAAATCTTTTCTAGACCAAAGAAACTAGAAATGCAGCCCCCTTTGTCCCTGGCCCCTTCCTTCTAGTTCCCCTTTCCCCTTCAATGGGAAGAACGGAAATTTTTCTCTGAGGACTCTTCTCCCCACTTCTGCTTGTCAGCTACTTCACACCCCAGGTTTCAGAATGCATTGGAAACCTTCCATTCCAGACCTGGGTTTGTCATCTGACAGCCCAGGGTTCTCGTCTTTCTTTAGCAGTCTTGCTTGGCAGGGGTATAGCTAGACTGTGATTGTTCACAGAGTGTGAAGAGGGTGGAAGCGGGGTGGGGTTGCCCGTGGCGCCAAGACTTGCAAGGCTGGAAGGCAGGAGTGAGTGTACTGCCACACAGGAAAGGGAGGCTCTCAAGCCTGGCCTCTAGGGCTTGGTGGGAAGAGCAGAGACTCGGATTGAAGATAAAGAAGGGGTCTGGAGACTAGAACTGGGGCTCTGAGAGGGTCCTTGGACCAAAACGTGCCTCTGCTGTGTATTTGCCACAGTCTAGTTGTATCACCACCGAAAGGAGCAGGGGCTTGCCCCCGAGGCTAAGGAGGGACTCTGGGAAGAGAAAGCTGTGGGAAAGATCGTTTTTATATGTTTGTATCTCAGCCGCCTCTTCAATGGGGAGCAGAGACGGGAGGAGGAGATAGAGCCCAGAGCCTGAGGAAGGGTGCAGTGAGCAAGCGCTCCTGATTTCAGCAACCTGTTTATTGCCTGTGTTAGGTCACTGGTAAGCCAACTCTTCTGTGCTGCTTGAATATTTTGTGGAGCGAAGATTGAATCTGCCCGGGACCTTTGCCACGAAGGCCTGTTTCTTTGAGCTGGGTGCTGAGAGCTGCCTGGACAAGCAGCCGTCAGCACCCAGCTTCCTGCAAGCCTGCATCAGCCCCGATGTGGGAAAAGAAGGTTGCAGGAGCACCCCTTGCCTCCTGTGTGAAAAGCCTGAGAGGGACATGGTTTTGCAACCAGGAGGTGCATGGCAACAAAAATAAATTTGTATTTATTTGAATTTTTGTTTAAGTTCCAGTTAATACACAGTGTAATATTAGTTTCAGGTGTACAACACTTCCATACATCACCTGGTGCTCATCTCTGCACTTCTTAGTCCCCATTACGTATTTAACCCATCCCCCCATCCATGGCAACTTTTTAAAAAATATTTTATTTATTTATTTGGGAGAGAGAGAGCACGAGTTGGGAGGAGAGGGAGAAGCAGGCTCCCTGCTGAGCAGGGAACCTGCTGTGGGGCTCGATCCCAGGACCCCGGAATCATGACCTGAGCTGGAGGCAGCCGCTTAACTGACTGAGCCACCCAGGGGCTCCTCGGCAACTTTTTTTTAAAACTAAATTTCTAAAGCCCACAGTTGATTCGTGCATCTTCATCTCTATTTAAAAGACTCTTTCACTATGAAGTGTTCCAAGATTTACCCTGGAAAGATGCTTTGATATGATATGGCTTAAAAACAATTTGACCAAGGAGGGCAATGTCCCTCAGGGTCCTGAAGCAGCTCTTCCTCTTTTTTTTTTTTTTTGCAGCTCTTCCTCTTTAATGAGCTCTTCAGTATGTGTTGCTGTTTTTTGTAGGGCTTCTAATAATCCCCTGGGCTCCCTCATTCTTCAGAGCCAAGCATTGCAGAGCTGGGGCTTGAGCTTGTTGAGGCTCTGACCCAATAGCAGTTGTTAGCCTAGGGCCCTTGGACTCTTTCATGCTTGATTTAGCACTCTGGCTTTACAAGGAGAGATTGTGTCCTATCTTCCCTGTCCCAGTTCTAAGCACTGTGGCCTTGAAACTCAAAGTTGGAGACCTAAATATTCCCTAGACCCTCTTTCTACAGGCTGAGGACAAAGGAGATGTTTTTTACAGGTGAGTAATTGCTAGCTCCATGTGCTCTGCGGGTCGGCAGCGAGACTTCTTTGAACTCTGAAATGCGTGTGGCCTTTCTGCCAGAATCTCTCTTCCCCTGGAGCCTTCTGGGACACGTGACTGATGGTGAACGGTGACAGGATAATGCATTTCCTGACAAGGTGTTGGTCACCAAGTTGTAGACCACAGGATCTCAGTCAGCTGAGGGGGAAAGAAGTCACTCCCCCCTCATCACTTAATCCGCCAATTCAGTGCTGCTTACACATCAAGGCCTTTCCTTCCTCTACTAGAATACTGTCTGCAGCAGTTTTGGGACCCTTATACCTGTTTTTTTGTCTATCTGTATGGGTTTGTGTGTGAGCGGGCCTGCTATGTAAAACATATTGTGGGGAAAAAAATTTGAAAAACACTGGTGTTTAGGAAAAACTCCATTTTCCACTGATGTTTCCTCTGTACACACAGGACACTTCACTTCTGACACTTCTGGTCACCAAACGGGTAGGATTTTCCCCACACCAAACCATTGAGGACACCCGCTGGGCGTCCTGCAATTTAACTCCATTCTGACACCATCTGCCCGGAGACACCATCCTATCCCTCAGGGTAAGGGCTCAGCCCACAAGGCTGCTCCCTACTTCAGATGCCAATCGCAAGTAGCAGGTCCCCAGGTTCCCACAACTTCTGTCTGACTTGGCTACAAATTGGAGGTTCCCACAACCCCTTCTTTAGCTTCGATTTATTTGCTAGAGTGGATCACAGAACTCAGGGAAACACTGAAGTTTACCAGTTTATTACAGGACATGATAAAAGATACAGATGAAGAGATACCTAGGGCGAGGTCTGGGAAGGTCCCGAGTGCAGAAGCCTCTATCCCCATGGAGCTGGGGGGTGCATGTGTTTGCCAGCCTGAAAGCTCTTGGAAACCCATACTATTGGGGGTGTTTGGAGGCTTTCTCAAATAGGCATGGTCCATTATTAATTCCATTTCCAGGCCCTCCCCTCTCTGAAGAATGGGGGATGAGGCTGCAAATGCCAAGCTTCTAATCATGGCTTGATCTTTCTGGGGACCAGCCCTCATCCAGGAGCTTGCCCAGAGTCGCCTCACGAGAACAAAGATGCTCCCGGTGTTCTTTTATCATTAGGAAATCACAAGGGTTACAGGAGCCCTGTGTTCGGAACCAAAGCCAAAAACCAAATATTAGAACAAGAAATGTTCCCAATGCCCTTATCACTTAGGGTGTTAGAAGGGTTTTAGGAGCTCTGTGCCAGGAACTGGGAGCTGAGACCAATATATATATTTTTTCTATTATCTCACAACTGGTCTACAGGGCAGACCTCTCTCCTTGGATATATTGTAATCTCAGGGTCAGGAGGACAGAAATTGACTACCTTCCAAAATATCTCCCCTATTCTCTTTCTCTTTGTTTTTTAAAGATTTTATTTATTTATTTGAGAGAGAGAGAATGAGAGATAGAGAGCATGAGAGGGAAGAGGGTCAGAGGGAGAAGCAGACTCCCCGCTGAGCAGGGAGCCCGATGCGGGACTCGATCCCGGGACTCCAGGATCATGACCTGAGCCGAAGGCAGTCGCTTAACCAACTGAGCCACCCAGGCGCCCATTCTCTTTCTCTTGGTAAAAGGAGTCACTCTCTTCTGTGATTCAGGCTAGAGACTTTAAAGCTGTCTTTGACTCCTCTTTCCATTCCTTCATCTTTTGTGTCCAGCTGGTCAACATGTCCTGATGCTTCCTTGTTTGAAAAACCCCTCAGACTCGCCTCTTCTTGTGTCCACAGCCTTGTCTCAGCCAGTCTTGGAGGCTGGATTGCCTCAGATGCCAGTGCCTGCTGGTTCCCTACCTTCTAGTCTAACCTACCCCAAGCCCATCCTCCTTACCACCATCATTTGAATCTTCCCCAAATACTAGTTTCATCCTATCAGCTGGGGTTATTCAGCCAGGATGAAAAAAGGCTGATGGGAAACAGAACAGTCTCCAAAGATGAAAATCTATCCTGTAGGCGGAGGGGCAGGTTTACTCCATCTGGCTCCAGAGGGCAGAACTCAGGTCTGTGGGTGGCTTTGGTGTGAGACGTCCAAGAAACAAAAGAATGCATTGACAAGGAGAGAGTCGACTGAACTGTCCTGTCCAGTTGGCAAGTTTCCCTGCACACACCAGTAATAGCCCAATTAGAAAACACCCTGAAATATAAAATACCTAGAAATTGGGGCGCCTGTGTGGTACAGTTGGTTCAGCGTCAGACTCTTGGCTTCAGCTCAGGTCATGATCTCAGGGTTGTGGGCTTGAGCTCCGCAGTGGGCTCCACGCTCAGCAGGGAGTCTGCTTGAGTTTCTCTCTCCCTCTCTCTCTGCCCCCTCCACCCCATGCTTGCTCGCTCTCAAATAAATAAATAAATAAATAAATCTTTAAAAAGGTACCTAGAAATCGCCTCTATTGGAAATGTCAATGAGCAATGTGAAGACAATGACCAAATTTTGTTGAGAAATATGGGAAAAGTCAATGAAGAAAAACTTCCCTGGCTGGCAAAGTTAAGATTGTAAAGATGTCAATTCTTTC